TGAATATTTCTTTTTTTGCAAGTGCATCTAGCATCTCGCTCTTTTGGTTAGATGAAATGGATCATACAGCCTATAATACTTCAGGGAACGTTGACTTAAAAAGTCATTAAGATGAAGAAAAAATTATTTAAGCAGTCGGATTACTTAAATATTCAGATCTTCCAGAGCTGCAGAAAAAGAAGACTAGAAGCCTGAAAAACTCTTGGGTGGCTGCTGAAAACTCAGAATAAACAGGGCTTTTTCCAATTGGGAGAAGTCACACAGCACTGATATTTCTGGCCCAGATTCTTTCCTGGCAGTACAGGAGCAAGCACCATTTCTGGAAGAGTGAACTTGGAGAATTAATTTCCTACCTGTATTATTATAATTACCTTTTCAACTGTGCCTGTCATGGGCGCTACAGCAGCACTTTGAATCCCCACTGAACTCGCTGCAGACAAGTACTTGGGTACAGGAAGGCCAATCTGAGCACTACCTTCCTACAGAAATAAAATCAATGAGTTAACAACATAAAATAATACCACTAGTACACATGCTGACATACAGGGAAAGAACAGATCCAGCTTTAGGCAAACCAGTCAACTGTTTAGGGTGGCACGCTACTGGGGTCAGGGCAGACTGCTGACATGCTTACTACTTTGCCAATGTCCAAGTCCTTAAAAGCCACACCTGCTGCTGCTAAGGGTCAGCAAGGAAGGAACTACTCCTGTGAAAAAGGGGCTCCACATGGATCTTTGTACTAAACCCACACCTTCCCTACTCATGCAGCAACAGCACATGCGTAAAGGCTGTTTGCACAAGGGGTAGGCAGGTTGCTGCAACAAGTAAGAAAGACAATGGCATCTTCATTGCCAAGCATTGTTAATGTAAGAGTTTTACAATTTACCAAAAAATGGATTCAGTGCTAAGTTTAGTGAAAGATTCTCACCGTTATTCAAAATCCCCTAATTCCTCTCAGACTTGCTACCCAAAGTTTCCCAAAGACTCATTCTCCCCCACATCCTATGCATACCCTAAAACTTCTGTGATTTCTTCTGGATCCCCCAGCCCAGACTGGACTCTGGTACTACAGGGAAACTGAGCTTTGCCATTCCAGCGTGAGTTATTTTGTCCTCATCATTGAAGCAGCAAAGTTTTCACTGCACTCTGCTGAAAGTCTTAAGGGACTCAAAGCTAGAGGTCAATTATTGAAACTAATACATTAATAATTTACTTATTTGGATTACATTTTTATTATCATAGAATCATTTAGGTTGGAAAAGACCTTTAAGATCATCAAGTCCGACCATAAACCTAGCATGGCCAAGTCCACCACTAAACCATGTGCCTAAGCACCACATTACACATCTTTTAAATACCTCCAGGGATGGTGACTCCACCACTTCCTGGGCAGCCTGTTCCAATACTTGACAACCCTCTCGGTGAAGAAATTCTTCCTTATACCCAATCTAAACCTCCCCTGGTGCAACTTGAGGCCATTTCCTCTTGTCCTATTGCTTGTTACTTGGGAGAAGAGACTGACCCCTACCTCACTACAACCTCCTTTCAGGTCGTTGTAGAGAGCAATATGGTCTCCCCTCAGCCTCCTTTTCTCCAGGCTAAACACCCCCAGCTCCCTCAGCCGCTCTCCCTCAGACTTGTGCTCCAGACCCTTCACCACCTTCATTGCCCTTCTCTGGACTCGCTCCAGCACCTCAAGGTCTTTCTTGTAGTGAAGGGCCCAAAACTGAACACAGCACTCAAAGTGCAGCCTCACCAGTGCCCAGTACAGGGGGATGATCACTGCCCTGGTCCTGCTGGCCACACTATTTCTGATACAAGTCAGGATGCCATTGGCCTTCTTGGCCACCTGGGCACACTGTTGGCTCACATTCATCCAGCTGTCGACCAACGCCCCCAAGTCTTTCTCTGCTGGGCAGCTTTCCAGCCACTCTTCCCCAAGCCTGTAGCGTTGCAGTTACTGCATTACTTTAAAGCCCTGTGATCTTTTCAACTGCAAATAAAAAATCACCAGCCTAATAATGCAAATTAGGGTACCTCTTCCGTCAAAGCCATTATTCATGCAATACAGATAATGCCATGGTAACTCATAATTCCAGTTTTTTAATATTAGCTGAAGTTACCCTTCCTCAGACCAGTATCAATTGTTTTCTTATCATTTAATTTTTAAAATGCAACTGAAATAAAAATAACACTTACAAGCACTTTCAAATAATTGTCAGTTTGAAGTACTTGCTATTGTTCTATGACAAATTTAGATACTTGACCATTTTAACATTTTGTGTTCCTCACTCCCAAACCATCATTTGTAACTCTGAATCACTCAATTGTATTTTCTCTTTCTAATCTTTCTAGAAGTAATTCATTTTCTCACTCACTGACCATAAGCAACTAACTTCTAATTATAGCTACAAATCCAACAAGTATGGAAACATTATGGGCCAACATAAGAACTTGAAATTACGATTCTCTTTCACATTCTCTTGCCATATATATTGTTTATTTACATGGACAAAACTCTGAAATTTTATAGTTGTGATAATAAAGAAAGGAACTTTACCGGAAAGAAGAGATAAATGGTGTTGTCCAAAATGACCAATTTGGACTTACACACTGTTCCATTTACTGAAGACCTCAAGTAAATTGAATCACCTTCACTGAAGATCTCCCCAGAAATCAGGAATATTTTATCTTGAATCTGAAAGTTAAATGCTTTTATAAGGACAAAGACTAACCCTTCATGAACAATAAGCTAAAAAAATAGTATTTGTAGCATACACTCATAACTTATGATTCTTCATAGATAATTCTGGAATTAAAAAAAAATAAATCTTTTTAAATCTTAGGTATCCTTTATTTTTCAGTTTACAGACTGTATTCTATACTCAATGCAATCAGCTGAGAATATTAGCTAATATACTCTCCCAGGATGATTTTTATCATAAACTACACAATAGCACTCAGCAAAATGATAAGGTATACTATTTATCAGGGAAAATAAAATCAGAATATTCAGTTCAGTGATGCTACTAGAAACCAATATTTTTTAATTTGTCCTAGCATCTTGACCTTCTTCAAACTGAAAAATCCATACTATTCAGCTGACATAACATTCCACAATGCTTTTCAAAAGACAGGAAACTTCCTCAGTCTTGGAAGCTTATAGTATGAAAACTACAATATACTCAGTAAACCTACAAAGGAGTAGAGGAGATTGGTAATAGAAGCAACAATTGGACACCAAAACTGTAAAAGAAAGATCAAATAGAAAGGTCATGTATTTGTTGGTAACCCTTTCATCTACATCAATCGAAACTGCACCTCTGCCACAACTTCAGAATACAAAGACAGAATACAAAGAATATGAACATAAGTGCATTACATTTAACTGGTATTTTTAGTTCTAAGTCTAACATCACCGAGCAAAGAATCAGAAACTTGTTGGTCTGTCAGGATGTTATGAGTAGAGGTAGAATTCAGCCTTCGTTTATATAGTCACGTACTATTTTTCCACTGAATGAAGACCTTGTAACATGCATTATATATGTTGATCTGATACCAATCCGTGAGAAAATAAATTGTTTGCTTGATCAGATTCCTGAGCAGGGGTGCAAATTAAGGCAGGCAACACCCTGGGCAGCACTGTGAGTGCTTGCCAGTTCCATGGTCCAGCAACCTGCTCTGGTTGATTGGCCTCAGGACAGGTTTTGTAGCACTCCAGAGGCATTGTCCTCATAATCAGCTCCCGATTCTGTTTCTCCATCCCTTATTCTCCAGCTTCTTTCTATTTCCATCTCAACCCCTATTCTTACTTCTTCCCTGGGAGTCTACATTCTCCTTAGTTACAACTCCCCTCCCCAAAAGGCCCCACTCTACACTCCTTCCAGCCTTTTTATTTTTTGCTGACGTTACTTCTATGAGATAAGCCTGAAGTGTAAAAGCTCTCCTGCATTACATATGTAATCAATACACTCAAAATAACCTGGGTATTACTTGAGAGATGTGGCTTATCTCAATATTCGTACCAGTAGAAATAAGGGTTTGAGTTATGCAATATGTGGTTATACACAGGAAAGCACAGTAATTTTCTCACTATTTTTCTAATATGCTCATCTCTATACAGTCTAAGCAGTTAATAAGTACTGACTTACTCTCATAATTCCCCTTTTTTGAATATTGGAAACAAGAAGCTGAACTATAGAGAGACTGCATTCTCGCATATGCAATCGTTCTGGGGGCCAAATTTGAGAGACTCCAGGCGGTGCAAGAAGGATATTCAACACTCCACAAAACACAACGCCCATAAGCCACACAACTGGAGACTATCACACATGTACATACAAAAATATCCATGTTTAAAGCATCGTGAGTTGTATCCTATAAGATATCTATAGTGTAGACAGAGAAAGAAGCCAATTCTATGTGGCCTCATTCAATTATTTAACCAGAAGATTTACTGCTCTCATCATTCCTCATCTCATTTAGTAATCACTTTCCAATTTCTATCTTCAAAATAAAAAAAAGTGTTATCTTACAGATAATGCTCTAGAAAGCTTTTATTTATCCCACAGGAGATCCATCTCATGCACAGAATAAAGCAGGAGTCCTGTGGAAAAAAAGTCTTTTTAAATGCAGATTTAAATCTAACCCTCCAATGTTTTAGAAAGACAAATTTAAGGAAGAGGAAAATAAAGAGTTAAGATCTTTAAATACCGAAAAAACCAAATGCTTTTCTTAGCCTTATTTTCAGAAGCATTTTAGTAGCTTTTCTGTGCCAATCCAGCATCTAGCAAAGATAATTTCAGGCCAAAATAATCGTCTACAGCAACGGCTGCAAGCAAACCAAAAATAGAACCCTGTATCAGTAATTACCAAGCAACTTCAGTAACATTTAATACCATGGGAAGACTACGAGAAACTGATTCTTCTTTTATCTTATGAAATAGCCAGAAAAATTAGACTTATACCTGCATGTTGTATGACCCATCTTGATTGTAACTTACAGCAACATCCACCACTGTTCAATAAAACAAAATATGTTTATGTGAGTAGATTTAATTATAGGATCTAGAGAATAATGACATATAAACAATATTTAGTCTGTCTTTCTTGATAAAAAAGAGACCTACCAATACTAAGAAAAGAACAAGTATTTTCAGATCAGCGTAGCAGACACTGCAGATTTCATACTGATTCTAGACAATTTGTTTTTCAAAGATGAACACCTGAAGTTATGCTCTGAAATCTATATTAAGTTATCTGGACAGAAAACAGGTTTTTGATGGGAAAAAGTGCTGAGCACTTTCACATTGAAGTGAAGTTAAAAAAAAGTCAATGGCACTAAGCTCTTAAAAATCTCAACCTTATTAATTTAAATGGTGAACATTAGTAGTGCCATTTGAATTTGATTTACATATCCTCAAGATCTAACAGTGTGGATTAAGCATGCAATTCTGTGAATTCCTAGCTTAAATTGCATAAACTCATACTGCTTCTACTTGCTGTTTCTTAGCCTGAATTTTCAAGCACCTGTTAAAACAATTTTATCCACTTACTGTTTTCCCCATCCAGCAGAGACAGTTTTCTAGTATAACGTATATTTATTCTTCTACCAGTGCTGGATGCAAATGGTGAGAATTTATCTAAAACACAAAATATACACATACATTACTTTTATTCTGCTTTGGCAAAACACAATACTTAGAACTTACACCATAAAATCACTGTCCTACTATTACTAATATCATACTCATATATTTATATTGCCCACAAAAGATTGGGGAAGCACTGTAATAGATAGTGACAATCCCTCACTCAAGCTTCAACACTGAATAAATTGATGCTGTGTAACCTACAGAACAACATGACACTAATGGCAGCACTTAATAAGGAGGAGTATATTGATTCTTCTCCATGAACATATCCTTGAACAGGACAAGAAAGTATGGGAATTCAACTGCCACATAGCAGATTCAGATTAACCTTTAGGGTTTAGAGCGCTGGAACAGGCTGCCCAGAGAGGCTGTGGAGTCTCCTTCTCTGGAGATATTCAAAACCCCTCTGGACGCGTTCCTGTGCAACTTGCTGTAGGTGAACCTGATCTCCAGAGGTCCCTTCCAACCCTGATGATTCTGTGAAGGCTCCAACTGTAAGAGTAGTCAAAGATGGCAGCAAATTGGCTGGGAAGACTAAAAGGTTTTCTATTATTTGGTGGTTTTGAGAATGAATCAGATATACAGCTATCAGATATTGCCTGATGAGTTCTTCATCTCCTGAAGCAAGGGAATAGTGTATGGGAATCTGTCCAATCCCACTCTCTTACGTTTCCAGGACTGTTAAAGTGGAGGAAGAAAGAAAATTAACGAGGTTGTTGGCAGCATATATTAGATTTATATGAAGTTTTTGTTAACAGCAATCACATGCCCCGCTGGCATAGCCATTAACGGGGTCAGAACCGAGGAATGTTCAACTCCTGGAGTCCTGTTCATTCCATTAAACCCTACTGCCTCTACCAATCCTAGCAGAGTCAGTTTTATCTCTGAAGACCTTGGGCCAACTCTAGCAATAATAGTGACAGATACTGTCTGTTTATGCTTGCAAAGAGCAAAGAGTACACAGTGACACTGTTTATGAATCCCAAGGTCTTTCAGATAGTGCCTATCTGAAATGCTGTGAGAATCAGTCTGTACATTACAGTGGTGATATATTCAATATCTGACCCTTAACAAAAGTTATAGTCTGCTCTGTGTGTAAATATCTGACAGATGCCAGAATGCAGAACCCTCAGCAGGCACAAAGTAAGGCAAAAAGGGAGCACCCAAATTAAATAACTGCACATGAGCTCACGGCAGTGTCTCATCCAGTCACAAGTAAAAAACAAAACAAAAGAAGAATGATCCTTACCATCTGACTGATCTCTAAAAGCATCTGATAGCATTTTCTCTTTCAGTATGAGTCCTAGAGCTGCCTGACACATAACTTCATGTGGGGTTGCCTTTTTGGTTGGAAATAGTTCATCATGGTGTTGACGAATAAAATTAGTGTGCACATTTCCAGCCTCAAACTGTGGGTGTCCTGACAGGCTCAGTAAGAAATCAATATTAGTGCTTAATCCTACAATCTGTAAAGACAAAGCAGCATATTGCCAAATTGAAAGGAAATTATGAATGAATATATGGTTTTCTGCTCAACTTATACATAGATGATATCTTTCTTCAGACAGCACCATCAAAACACACAGTTTATCAATAAAATGTAATTAATTCAACTGGTCTGCTTTATTACCAGTGAAACCATTGCTTTCAAAAAGAAGAAAAAAAAAAACACAAAAAACCCGCAAGAGTAGCTTTCTCAAAAGCACTGTTTTCAAAACACTACCTTTGTCCATTGTGAAGTCAAAGAAAGTTTCCCAGCAATAGGAGTGGGAGGTAATTTAGGAAAAAAAACCCTACTGTTTTAAATACTCAAAGTATGATTTTTTTAAAAGAATATTCCTAATATTAAAAGTGCCTCTTATTAAAAATGAGTTACAATAGTTTCAGATAGTCCATATTTGATCTTTTAATAGTAACAAATGGGAGCAGTGGCTTTTACAAATTTACTAGATATTATCCATTTCCTGTACTGTAAAATACCTAAGTTAACAACATGAAAATAGAAATAATTATTTTAGGGAAATCAGTGAAACTGGTAACTATATTGTGCTGTCAATATTTATTGACAGAACTACTAAGGAAATTCTGAAAAAAAACCAAGGGAATTCTTTTATCTCTTTCACTTGCAGTAATCTTCTTTTTTAGCTAAAACAATAATGGGCCAAGCAACTTCTGTACTTCAATCATGTTTATGTTGATGATTTAGAAGTGTAAATTAATTTTGTATAAATAATATTGAGTTTCATCTGAAATCAAACCTTCTGAATTCCACTTTTGAAAATAGATACAATACCTGTAGTTTTTATAGGGGAAAAAGGGACCACTTCTTAAAAACACCTGACAGCATGAAAAACTTTCTGTATTTCTTTACCACATGTATAGTCTAAAAATTTAACTGTTTTTACCAACTAGAAATTACAAGCAAACATCATCTGACACAAATTCCACCTAGAAATTCCTTTATGTTTGAGAAAGCTCACACTACAATTGAAAATGTTGCTGTTTAGTCTTACTCCTACAAAGTCCCGGCTGCATCATCCAACTGAAGACACACATAGATTTTTCTTATGTTTGTGGTAAAACTGGACTTCACACTTATCTCTACTCACTCCACCAAGGAAAACAGTTTGCAAATTAGGAAAAAATACAGCTCCTGAAAATAAGTAATGAAATCTGAAATGGTAGTAGCAATGTAGGCTCCCTCTTAGAAACCACTTTTGTTTTAATGTAGTATTTTATCCATGTTCTGTTACCTCAAGATGTTCACAAAGTTAGCTCAAGATCTGAAATCATACTGGGTTCCTTATACTTACATTATATTGATGCAAACTGTATCGCAACTTTCTCAGTGCTGCTTGACGATCCTCAGCCCAAACAACTAGCTTTGCAATCATTGGATCATAATAAACGGAAACCTCATCACCTAAAATATATTAAAAAAATGCTGTAACACTAAATCAAGTATTTCTGAAAGTTGGTAATGCATAGTACTGCACACCATATGGCATTAAACTCTTGACACAATTGATGGCCACATTTCTCTATGTCCTTAAAGAACACTAATCTTTAACGATGTGACTGGGCATTTCAATTTGAAGGACAACTTCAGTACAGACTTTTGTAGAGGTAACATTACTCAAATTCGGTTTTCTTTCTTGCAATCAGAATGCAGCTTGATAAATTGTGATGAGCATATAATCAGCATGATCCAATGCACAATAGTTTGGATAGAGGTAAATAAAATATTCAGTGATTGACCAAAAGTACATGGACAATCACAAGGAAGAATAATTCTGTAGAGATTTGCCTTTGTAACAACACTCTGTCAGACAAACTTATTTAGGCCAAAGAGGGAAATGCTTACAAAGAAAAGCTTTTGACGCTAAATATTTCTGATTACACCACTGCCTTCAGTTTTACCTTGTCTGACTCCTGTTTCTATCCTGGTGAAACTATCAGGTGGTGGGGTGGATAAGTGCAACAATGGCCCAGCCCCCGGCATAAAGTTATTATTAGGGTCTTCCGCATATATTCTAGCTTCAAATGCATGGCCCTGGAGCAGAATCTCCTCCTGCATTAGGGGAATCTTCTCTCCTGCTGCAACCTGAAAACAATAGGTTTTTTGTTTAATGCAAGATCAATATTGTGGAGTGCCAATGCATGAAATATTAAATATCTTTCTTCTAAACATGAACAACTAGAAAGCACATTAGAAAAAGCACAAGGAGAAAAAAGTGGTAGGTCATAAAAGGCTAATTCTGAAGCTACTCCTTCCCACCCTACCAGTCAAAGGGTTTTGAACCATTATTGTGTAAACTGACCTCCTATTTCACACAGCTAAAACATAATGAAAAACAGTCTAATTTTTTTCTACTGGTTATGTCAAAAATATAACTAAATGTTTAAGTTAAAGCCTAATCAACTAAGACAAGATTTTGTTAGACAAAAATTGCTCCAAAAGCAGATGATAAAATGGATTACTGGCAGCCAGCACTACTGGCATATGCTGTTGATTCTTCTGTATACTGTGGGACCTTGCACATTTAAGGGAATGTTTCTCTAAGGGGATTTCTAACTATTCAAGAATTTCTAATGATGAAAGAAACATCATTTTATTACTCAAAGGAATTCACATTACAAATACAGGAATACCAAAACACACCAGCAACACACCAGTTTGAGACTGAAAAAACAGGGCTTTTAGGGACAAAATAGTAACAAGCAGCCTGATGCCGTTAAGCACAGGGGAGACCCTTTACCAGGAAGTCACACAATTTCCATCTACATGGGAAAACACAAGTTCCTAAAAAAATTTGTAGCAACATTTCCTTTTCTTTTGAAGTGTCAGGGGTTTTCCATACTCTGCCTTCTGCCAGCAAAGACAGCAGAATATAACTTAGTCTTCAAAGACAGATCAGTACTATACAGATCCACAAACACAATCTCTCCAAGAACTGACAGACATTTTTATCTATTGGCTCACTAAGCCACATGCCAAGACCACTGAACCTTTCCACCTTATCTCTTTTTCTTCCAGTATTGTTTGATCCCTGCTCCAACTCAGCACTCAATGCTCAATTTCCATCCCCAGATCAGGAAGCCAAAAGTTCCTCCTTGCATCAGCTTTTGTGTGCTGGTTTTGGCTATAATTGAGTTAAATTTCTTCATAGTAGGTAGCATGGGGCTATGTTTTGGATTTGTGCTGAAAACACTGTTGATAACACAGGGATGTTTTAGTTACTGCTGAGCAGGGCTTACCCAGAGTCAAGGCCTTTTCTGCTCCTCACCCCACCAGCGAGTAGGCTTGGGGGGCACAAGAAGCTGAGAGGGGACACAGCTGGGACAGCTGACCCCGGCTGATCAAAGGTATATTCCATACCATATGATGTCATGCTCAGCATGTAAAGCTGGGGGAAGAAGGAGGAAGGGCATAATGTTCAGAGTGACGGCGTTTGTCTTCCCAAGTAACTGTTACATGTGATGGAGCCCTGCTTTCCTGGGGATGGCTGAACACCTGCCTGCCTATGGGAAGTGGTGAATGAATTCCTTGTTTTGCTTTGCTTGCACAGGTGACTTTTGCGTTACCTATTAAACCATCTTTATCTCAACCCACAAGTTTTCTCACTTTTACTCTTCCAATTCTCTTCCCCGTCCCACAAGGAGGGATTGAGCAAGCAGCTGTGTGGGGCTTAGTTGCTGGCTGGGGTTAAACCACAACAATTTGCCATTCTAGTTTTTTTTCTGGTTACACTAAACACTCCCCCATCCTATCTACTTGAGCTCAACATGTGCTGCTGTCCTCACTTTTGGATTCATCTAACCAGAATTGTTTTTCATTTCCAGTTCCCTAAGGACCAAAACTTCCTGTTATCATTTGAACATGTGAATAATCTCTCTGCAAATTGGGTGTGTGAGGAAATAGCCCATTTCCAGATCCCACAAATATACATTTATTTTAGAATGTGACTATACTGGTATAACACCAGTTTTTGTGAAGATTTTTCCTCCTACAGCCTGATCCAAGAATTACTTTCGGGAGAGTGAGAAATTTGAACTAGAGTTTTAAAAAATTTTCAGCATAGCAAGGGAAAGATCAGGACCCTACTCCTCCCCACTTTCCACATTCTCTACAACCTCTCTAAATATGCTTTAAAAAATGTTTTTCCTCTACACAACTGAAAGAGAACTTTGTTGGAATTCAGAGCATCTACACAATGTTCTACAATCAAATACAGTAATACAAGATATTCCTTCAGAGCAAAGAAAACTCTACCCTATTAGCTGAATAGGAGATGAGGATCTGAAAACCTATCTGTGTCTCATAGGCAATATCAAAGAGCACTATACACCAGACAAGAGGAACTCTACATGTAAAAATCAATTAACTCTTACCCTAAGCTGCCATTCCACCAAGTCTGTTCCGGTGATCATCTCTGTAACTGGGTGCTCTACTTGCAGTCTGGTATTCATTTCCATGAAGTAAAAATTATGTTGGGAGTCCATAATAAATTCCACTGTTCCTGAAGTATTTAATAAAAGGGCATTTAATCAAAACAAGACTTTTTCAAAATGGACACGTAAGACACTTAATTCACTTATGCTAGGACAAGACTATTATTTCCTAAATCAGATACACTGAATTTCATTAAATTCTATACAAATTATCTTAAAGGGTCACACAATTGAGGTCTGAAAATAGAAGGGTTGTTTCCTTGCACATTTACATATCCTGTACTGTTTAGTAGCCATTCTCTTCTACAGTAAGAGCTGCATTTCATTAGAATTGTATTTCGTTAGAGCTGTAAAAAGTGCATCAAGACTCTTTGAAGTATTATGTATATGTATAGGATGTGTAATTATTTTTTAAAAGTAAGTATCCAAAGAAAGCAGTGAGAAAAGAAAGTCACAAATAATTTTAGCAGGTTATTTTTCATCTGGGAAATAGTGTGGACTTTACAGACAGTGAGTTGTGTTTTTCTTTTAAAAGCTTCACTCTTTGTTTCAATATAAAGTATTATTCTTTGTATGCTGAAAGAGAAATTATTTTTCCCCGTGCTCTGCTCAAACTTACTAACATTCAAAATGCTCACTTTCCAACAACAATCTAGTTGATTGAAGTATCTGCTCTGAAATTTTTTCTTTCTAATCTTCAGCTGCCACTGGTCTTGACCTCAGACCAGCTATGCCAATTTAAATTTGTAATTACGTCAGAATTAATGATCTGATTACTTGCTTAAACCTCAAAAAAATTGGGGGATGTGTGTCATACTCTAAAACAATCAGATGCCATTAACCTTGAGGCTTAAAATTCTTATTCAGTTAAAAGCATACCTCTGGAGCAGCCATACCTCCACAGACCTACCTGCTCCCACATAATTCACTGCTTTAGCTGCTTTGACTGCAGCTTCTCCAAGTCTCTTTCGAACTTCAGGATTAATTCCTGGCTGTAAATAATAGTAATACAAAAGATTATAAATTCATGCGAATTTTGGTAATATTAAACCTACTACGCACGAGTATTTTGCAGTATTTAGCAACTGTAGTGAAATCCTTACCAATGTTATACTTGAAATCTACATAATTTTTCTCTGAGAATCATTTTCCTAAAGAAAGTAATTTTTTCAGTTAGGACATTTTCTAGAGCAAAATTAGAACAGGTACTGAGAATTACAAATTAATTACGACCCACTAAATAAATCTGATAGGGGTTAGCAATTACTTCAAAAATATATCAGTTCATAAAAAAATATAAGAACTTTCTGCTCACCCCTGGTGCCTCTTCAATGATCTTCTGATGTCTCCTTTGCACACTGCAGTCTCTTTCAAACAAATACACTGCATTGCCATGCTGGTCACCAAATACTTGGACTTCAACATGCCTGTTCCATAATAATAAATGTTTCAACATATTTCAGTAAAGCTCCAATCCTGCAATTGACTTCACCCAAACAGACTTTGAACTTGTATGCAGTCCTGTACACTTCAGTAGGACTTCTTATAGGTTTAAGTGTCTGCCCTCAAATAGCCAAAAATGTAGACACGAGGCTGCTATTATGCAGGATTTCAACTGTTTTACATTTCCTCAATCTCCTAAATGAAACAGGATTCTAAATGCCAGCTACTGCAGTGAAACCTCATAGGTTGTAGGCTAAACAAGATACATATCTAAAGGCTGCTATCTCTTTCTTCGTCATCATAATAAAAGTAAAACCACTTCACTATTATTTGCTAATGATGATTTCCCTCATAAATTTATTGTGTAGCAATTCACAAGAGGGAGCAGCCCTGGCTCAGGAATAACATTGTTTATTTCAACACACCATTTCAGAAGACAACTATAAGGTGGCAGAACTTCGTTCTATCTATAAAACTAACAAAAATCTGTCATCATTCTGATAATCCTCTGACGCTGGGAAAAGAAATTCCCCCGCAATTTAATGAGATTTTTCTCATGCCCATCTGACAGCATAAGCAGGCCCACAGTTTCTTTAGAATAAATGCTTTCTTTATAGTCATGCTTCAAGAAAAACAGATGTAAAGTACCAGACTATCAAACAGACCTCTGTGAGAAGTTCTTTATAAAAAACCAAATTAGCTCCGTTTCACAGGTCAGGCATAAGCTAAAGACTATCACTTCTGTTTTAAATATCAAAATAGAGAAAGATTAAATAACTAGTTTAGTACACCTGAGGGCAGCAGAAACACCATGACAGCTTGACTCAGGTCTGCAGTTTAAATATTATAAAGTGATTCTAGATGTAAATCAAGCTTAGAAAGCTCAACTCAAGGAGGAATATCATTGTCATTAAATGTCACTGCCATGTCTCCTAAACAGTGGTATTTTAGTTCTTATCATTCAAAACAAAGTCACTACAAGACATTCAATACATTATAAACAATTTTGACTAAATTAACACCTGCCATAGTGTAAATAAAACATACAAGACCAAGTTTCATCCTATTACTAAACCAGTTATGTTTACTTAACAGTAGAATAAACATTACAGTTTTTATATTAAAACATCTCTTTTTCACCTTGGATTATCTACAAATTTCTCAATCAGCATCGCATCATCATTGAAAGACTTCTTTGCTTCTCTTCTAGCTGATTCTAGTTGGTCCAGGAACTCCTTTTCTGAGTGAGCAATTCTCATGCCCTAATATACAGAAAAAAACATTATCTAAACATCTAAAAATATGGTACACAAAAATCCTTGTTGCACACAAACAGCAAGAAACTAGCTTAACAATAACACTTTTCTCTTCTTTCTTAAACTTTAGCAAACTTGTGTATCAACTTCCAGTAAGATAATCCTACTAAACCTGAGTGAAAGCGCCATAAAACGTGTAAAAAAATAGATATTATCATTCCATTAATATGGATGAGTAAAAAATTCAATTTTATTCTTAAATATCATAGAATTTTTCTAAGTTTGGCAGAGAAAAACTGGTTTCATTACAAAACAAATATAGGTATTTTGGAAATAATTAAAATTCTCTATCATGTCATTTTTATAGAAATTAATTTCAGAGTAAACTCAGATTTAGACAGAGAATTCACCATACATTAACAAGTGTCTAGACACCAAATACTTCAATGGTATCTCTAATCACTTCTTATGCAACATTTAAAACTGTTAGCAAAAAAAGTCACAGAAGCTATCACAAAGTAACAATTTGAAGTCATCTAATTTCACACAAACAAATACATAAGACAACTTTTCTGCTTATGTGAATTACTGGAGATCCATTGAAATAAACAAAACTTTTCCAATTTATAGCAGCTACTTATCTTGTGCCAGACTGCACAACAAAAGGAAATGAAATTTCATAGTGCTAGATTGCACATTAATAATAAATTTTAATGAAAAGTAGTTTTCCAGTTTCTTTGTCTTCAGATTTCTTTTAGATAATTCAGTTACAGATACTAAGACATGATAACTTTAAACCATGTGATGAACAGTGATGTTCCTTTACCTTCCCTCCACCTCCACGAACAGCTTTAATCATTACTGGATATCCTATTCTCTTGGCATGTTCCTTTAAACACTCATCTGATTGATCTTCTCCATGATAACCTTCAACAACAGGAACGCCAGCAGCAGACATTATAGCTTTGGAAGTGCTTTGACAGAATAGTTTTATGTTTAGAATGATAATAATATGTTTTTCTTACTTTAAGCTCTAAACCTGTATATGTTCCCAATATTAACGCTCCTCACAAAAGTAGTTCCACTGACCTCCACAGGACTACTTACATAACTGGGTTACATAGGATTGCATTGTAATTAATCAAACACTTCAAGTAGGGATTTTTTTTTCTCCAAGCCCTCCACATAAAAGCGGTAGTCAGTTTCAGGCTTGCTGTTCTCTCCTATCTTTTGATCCACATTACAGAGGCCAGAACCTAACACTGTCAAATTACAACACTGTATCCTGCCAAAACTATATTTAAAGTTCTACAAAGGCAAAACTCTTTTCATGATACAGGCTGGATTCACACCACACATAAAACGCCTGAGTGTAACAACTATAACTTCAAATATGCATGCAAAACTAGCTAAATTACAGAGGTAATTTAGTCTCACATTAGGAAGTGATAAAAATTAATTATCTGAAATTAATATTAAACAGTTCATGTGTTAGTAATATCCTTATTTCCATATTCTTGATTTATACTTCACGCCCTGGAAACACTTCTTTGATTTAAGTAGCTAAGAATAAGATCCTCTGTGATGAACAAAACTTACCACCCCATTTTACATGAGCCACAATAACTCCTGATGGGGGTTATTTCTTTTCCACAGTTCTTTTGACCAATATACAAGACTCCAATCTGACTGATGAACCCTTACTTATATAACTGCAATGCCCCAATTCTGGAAAACTAGCATCAGTTAGGTATTTAATTACCAAAAGCCTAATAACTGAACAATCTTGATTGTTTCTATCTCTACAGGAATCCCATATCTATAAGCCTGGAGCTTATTCCTTCGAAGAAAGCCATAAAAATAAAAGACAACGAAAACTGACAGAATAAAACAATTATGGAGCAATTGGTCATTTGTTAACAAAAGTAGCTTTGCCAAACTGTAAATTGTATAGCCAAGTAACAAATCAGAAAGAGATACCTCTTAATACCCATATCTCTGATAGCAGATGAAGGCGGACCTATGAAGATGATTCCCTCTTGCTTGCACAACTCTGCAAACTCCGTGTTTTCTGAGAGGAAACCATAACCTGGATGAATAGCCTAAAACAGAATAATGTTACCAGCCCACTTTGATATCAGTTTAGCTTAGAAAACCCTGAAACTTCAGTAGAGTGCTGAGAAAACACAAGATGGAAACACCACGGGTAAAAATAAAGAACTAAGAAGCATGGAAGTCATGGAAGATTTAAGGTCATGATCTACTTACCTGTGCTGCTGAAACCTTGGCCACCTGCACTATTTTCTCCATGGCCAAATAACTCTGCTGTGAGGGTGCTGGACCAATGCAATACGCTTCATCTGCCTGTTACAGAGAAAATACATATAACACAGACTGTTTATTAGACAATAAAAAGCAAATTGCAAATTCAACTGAATTTCTGAGCTAATTACGTTGTTTATCAGACTGCTAGCATGCAACAGTTTAAATCACTGCCTCTCTTGCCAGTGGAGCGACTCAACTGGGTAAAACAAATTCTGACTTTCTTCCCCAAATCAGAGTCCATTCTCTAACCCTCAGTGGCTACTCCAGAGTTAGAGCACCAAACTTTAGGGTGCTTCCTGTAAAGTTGTCAGGTGGTGAGACAGAGACTAGGCAAACTTTTCACTCATTCAAGGAAAACTTGGAAGTGACTCTGCAGAGCTGCAGAGGTGAAAATCAACTGCATTAGCACCAAAATCTACTTTCACATTGAACTTATTAATGAGAAATACTGTTGTGAATGAACATTAATCAGAAAATTAATATACTTCACCATTGCTACATGCATGGAATTTCTGTCTGCTTCACTATAAACTGCTACAGACTTCACACCCATTTTTTTTGCTGTTCGCATAACTCTGCATGCAATTTCTCCTCGGTTTGCGATAAGAATCTTCCCTATGTTGCGACCTCCTGTTTAAAAGGATGAAGCACAGTAAGCAATTTTTAAAAGAAATACATCCTAAAAAATATTCCTGGAAATAAAGCAATTTTAAAATTCAGATTTCTTTCTTATAATTTATAGTGTTTATGTATGTCTTCCAATAACAAAAAAACATGTTTCATCCAAAAGCATTTCCATGCTAGTCTTGGATTTTTTTCCTTAGGATTCCCCTTATGCAGAAGTATGCTTGGTTTAAGTCTTTTTTTCCTTTTAGAATCCAAGAAATATACTCTAACCCTAAAATAACATTTAAACATAAAAGTTGATGCTTGTATTTTTACTGTGTTCTTTCTGGACCAACTAGGAGACAATTACCACCTGTCGCTCTCCAATAGAAGTGATTCACATCTCTTTGAAGAGCACTATTCCCCACTGATACGCAGTCACAAAGAAATAAGAAGGTATGAAGCTTTTTGTTGGTTGTTTTTGGTTTTTAAACAGTGACATATAAGCTTCTATTAAGCCTCATGACAGCAGTTAAAACATGATCGAAATATAAGCCCAGCACAGCCAGAGACTTCACAGGCAGAACTAAATAGTTTAAAACTAACTAATAAAATGAAAATATATCTCTGAATTCTAAAACATACCTTTTTAGACAACATGACAATAAGGTCAATTTAAAATATCTTGCTAAATATTTTTTTACCTTCCTTCATATATTGTTTAAATACCATTACATCTAAAAACGAATTCTCACAGACTGCAACATTTGTATCAGAAAAGGACTCAGAGGAAAATATCACAAAAAGAAACAGTTTTCACTAAGTTGAGTATACCTAAATATGACAGATAAAATTATTCAAAATGTTGTTAACACATTAAAGATGATTTCTGCTAGGTCAGCTACAGCATACTGTGTTCAAAAACTAAACTGATATTGAATATTTATTTAAAAATCCCTACAGCTTTTCAGCAACTAATGGACTAAAACCAACTGCAAAACCATCCACATTGCACAAGCAATTAATAGTAGCTAAAGAAGTTAAAATTCATACCTATTGTCGAGGCCCATTTTACAAATCTTTGTACTTGGTTCCATTGCCTGTTCAATTATAAACACAAAGAAGTGTTACAAAAGTATATGAAGAAGTGGCAACTGAGCTACTTTTATTTTCAGGTGAGAGGAGGACAGCACTAAAAGAGCTCTGAAGCTTTTGATACAACTATTTACACAGAACACATTGGAGTACAACACAGAAGGTTGTAAAAACAAAACTTCACCAGATCTCTCCTTAGGTGTTTTCATTTATACACAACAGAAATAATCGCCTTGCTTTTTCAGCAGCATTCAAACTAAAATAGTCAACTTTAAACAAACAAACAACTATTTTAGTGGACAGAACAGCCAACATCTGGCATTTATTAGAGAGAAGGCGACTTGAAGCATTCAGGAAAGAAGACATGAACAACCATGAAACAGAAAAGCTTAAAAAGGAAATAGGAGCTGTTTGCACAGAGAAGAGATGCAAGAGAAAAGAATGTGAAAGATAGCAACAAGGAAGAGCTGTGAAGAATTTCAGAAACGAAAAGTTAAACCTCAAACGACTAATACTAAAGAAATCAGATAGCAAAGGCTAAGTGGCTGAAAGAAACTGTAAAAGTAAAATCTTGGAACTGTTTTAATTAACATATATATCAACTTCGGAATCTTGGATTGAATCCAGCAATTCTTAAACGGTATCAGACAAAAAGACCCAAGACGCCCTTGACACCACACAACCAAAAGCTAAGTTTCAACAGCGAGAGGGGAAGTTAGTGCGTTTCCTAAAGTTCTAATCAACAGCTGACAGGGTCACTAATTCCTCCCGCACAGGATTACAGACAGCGGAGAGGCGGCTACAGCGGGTAGCCAGCGACGGTTATCAAACCCCAAGCACCCAGGGCAGTTTCATGGAATCTGTACCAACTGCTAAAATTGTGCTTAAAACTCTGGGTTGGGTATTTTTGCTCTTTCTTTCCACAGAGGAGCCCG